CGCGCCACCCCACCCCCCCAAAAAGAAAAACCCCCCAAAAAAAAAAAAAAAAAAAAGTTTCAAAACCCCCAACACCGTAAGGCAACTTACTATCGTTTTTTCTCTGAGATCCTATTTCCCAACTATTATGCCATCACATCTATTGATGATCACTTTACAACATTAAACCAAGACACTACACTACCTAAAGACTAAATCTTGATCCAAACCCTTCCCAGTTGAAAAAACGCCTACTATTGTATACGTGTAGTACTTGTATAATCACTTGTAGGTGATTAGCCAATCCTTTTAGCACACAATCCAAACACTGTCTAAATACCAAGATTGCCTGGGGGCTCCACTTTAAGGACTCAGTTCTCTCTGCCTGGGATGCAGGGTGAGTGACACAGAGTCAGACTCAATACATGATTAGTATGGGCTCTGCCAAACATGACTTTCTTTAAGGATAGACTCCAGAGTGACCCAAGAGCTAGTGTAACGGAAGTTATTTGGCACAGAAAACCCACCTAGCGCTTAACGCCCAGGTATCCTACAAGGCGCTGGTTTTCCTGCATTCTCTCGGTCCCACAAGTTCAACCGGGGTGTTCTTGGCCATATAGAAAGGACTTTCTAAAAATCTAACCTAAGTCGCCCAACTAGAGTAGCAGCACGTGGGGAGAGGTTCCAGAGTAGGGACTCGAGGCCAAGTTTCTTTAAAGCGCGGAGCGAGAGCCCAGCGAGAAGCCTAGGCAACATGCCCTCCCTGGCCGGCTTCGCGGTGGAGGCGGCGTGCAGGGTCCCTCGCCCCTTACCTCCTGGAAGGCCGCAAGTCTCCCGGCTGCGGCTAGGCTGAATACAAGACAGGTCGGGTTGGTGCTCTCCAGAAAGTCCCCCAGGACCTGTCGGTTGTCCTCATTCTCCAAATACTGGCTCCATTTCTCCTCCGGGCACCTCAGCATCTGCTCCAGGCGGCCGCGGAGGAAGCGCACCCGCGTGTCTTGGCCGAAAGTCCGCGCTTTCCTGGCGGCCGCTGCCTCCTCTTCCTCGTCCTCCTCCTCCAACTCCATCACGTCCGCCGCCTCCAAACCCGCGCCCGGGGTGAGGCGAAGGGAGGCTTCCTGAAAGCCTAGCACCTCCAGGGCTACCACGGGGGACACCGGGTCCCCTGCGCCAGGGACGGTGGGCGAGTTCACCCCTTGCCGCGCGCCCTGAAGGCGACCACTCTCTTCCGTGAGCGCCGAGCGTAGCCCCCCACCTGCTGCTTCTTTCTGCCCCGCGACTGCGCGCCCCGCGAGCCCAGCAGCCGAGGCCACCGCCCGGGAGAAGCCGCGCGTCCCGTTTCCCAGGGGACGGCGCCCCGCCCAGGCCCGCGCAGGGCGGAGTGAGCGCCAGAGGCCGCCGCCCCGCAGAAGCCCAGGCTGTGGCCCACCCGAGCGGCTTTGGGGCTCCGGGAGAGGCATGCCCTGGGCCAGTCCGAACCCCCGGTGGGCTCACTGCACCGCCCTCCCGCGCCTTCCTTCGCATACTGACGCCTTGGTGGGGACTACCCGAGAGCGTAGCTGGACCAGGCCTGGCGTTGGTTAATTGCTCTGGAAGCAGTGCTGTCTAAATCCTTTTCCTGGGTCAAATCAGGTTCTCTCTAGATTGCTTGGGTTTAGCTGGTCAGTTGTTATTTTATGGGCAAGATGAATAAGTAACAGGAAGATGGGGGAACCAGGATTCAGGGCCCAAGTTGAGGACTTTCATTCACCTTACTTGAGGCTCTACAAATACTACCAGAAAAGCACCAGCCCCGCAATTCAACTTTGCTACTTGTGGAAATCAAAGATCTAGTAGTGCACACTCTGTTTCCCAACCTCGACCTGACGCTTACCGGGATGCCCTTTCAGAGAATGCATGGCGCTATTCCTAGACGCTAAAATAGTCCTAAATTCTGTAGAATTGTCATTCAATCCAAGAGTAAAACATCAAGGGAGTCTCAGATGCCAACGTTTCAGATTAGAAACAGTCTTCACTGGGGCCAGCTGGTGGCCTGCTGGTTAAGGGGCTGGATCCCACATGGCCGGCTGCAGGGTTGGAGCTCCAGACCCTGTGCTTGGGACTGCGACTCAGAGCCTGCCCAAAAATCCAGAAGAGAATGGACCAGAGGTATTGCCGTGTTCTCCCTGCAGGGTGCTTTCCCAGTTTCCCTGTCTCTGGGATATATATGTACCCTACAGCAAAATTAAAAATTAAAAAACAAACAAACAAACAACAAAAAACAACCAAGTCTTGATGATACTGATGTGGCATTTAGTCAGACTATTAAGGAAATTCTGTTACTGTCAACTTCCACCTTTCCCACAGGGCATACCTGAAAGAGTGCTACCTTCAATAGGGGCCAGCAGATGGCAAACCGGTTATGTTGCTGGACTCCCACGTGGCTGTGGTTCGAGTCTCAGATCCGGTGGTTTGAAACGCAGCATACCAGGTGTGTGCATGTGTGCCTGGTGCCCAAAATCCCAGGAGGAGAATGGAGGAGGAAGGATTGTTGTATGGCCATTCCCCCCAGGGGGTGATTTCTCAATTTCTCTCTCATTTCTCTGTCTCTCTCTCTTCACCTAGTGTACCTGCCCTAGAGCAAAAACCTCTACCCAAAAAAAAAAATCCATAGGGAACCAGCAGTTAGCATAATGGCTATGTCGCTGGACTCCCACGTAGTCGACCGCAGTTCGCATCCTGGACCTGGTGGCTTAGAACTCACACCGGGCACGTGTGTGTGCGTGCCCAAGATCCCGAGAGGAGAATGGAGGAGAAGGGATTGCGGCGTGACCATCCCCCCGGGAGGTGATTTCTCACTTTCTGTCTCTATGTCTCTCTGTCTGTCTGGCAAGCACACGCGCCCTATAGTGAAAATCTATAAAAAAAAAAAAAAATCCATAAAATAGCTGTTGATAGATAGATGTTTACAGTAAGAATTTTTCTTTTCAGGATTTTAATTGTCTCTGATAAATATGTTTACTTATACAATCAGAATCTTGAATTAAACCATGGAAAGCCTTTATAACTTATATAAAACAGCCTCATAGCTGCTTTGAATGGCCATGACCGTCTACGTGTCTCCCAGCTGCAAGTGTGGAGGCTAGCGAGGACTGCCTCCCAGCTCCTGTATTCCAGCTTTACATCCCCCACTCCAGAGAGACAGGAATTCTGTGAGTAATCCTGACTAAAATGGGGAGCAAATAGCCATTTTCAAAATCAGCAAAGAAATTTCTAAATACTTGTGCTATTATTAAAGTACAATGTTCAAAAAGTTAAATATGTAACATGAAATATAGAAAGAAGATCTCTCGTGTCCACAGGTACCATTTTGGTTAAGGCACTGACTGGTCTCCCAATGGCTGCCTACAGTTTGAGTCCCGGACCTAGTGACTTGCTTTTTCACTTTCTCTTTCTCTTTAGTAAAATTAAAAATTAATAAATAACTTTTTAATAAAGAAATACCTATCGAAGATTTATTTAATTCATTAATGAAGAAATCAACAAAACAGTGAAGCTGCTTACAACAAGCATTAAAGATATTGATAAACATTGGAGAAAGATCATGGGAGTAAACTGTTTCATTGGATATAATATTCATGAAAATCCTACAGGGCAATATAATCTTAACTTTTTTTGTTTTCCAAGATAATTTGCTTTTTGGAAATGTTTTATACCTTTAGTAAACAAAATATAAATAAAAATTTAACTTTGTAGTTTGAGTCATTACTGAAAAAGAGGTACATTTCCCTAGATAATTAATTCTTTGAGCGAAATAACACTGCAGTATGACATAAAAAAGGACACACTTGTCTTTTTTTAAGTTTTTTTTACAGGTTTTTGCCTTAAGCTATGTGGGTTCACCAGGGAAACAGAGACAGAGACAGAGTCATGAGAGGGAAAGATTGAAAGAGAGAAATCACCTCCCAGGGGAGATGGCCATGCCGCAATCCCTTCTCCTCCATTCTCCTCTTGGGATTTTAAGTATACATGCACAGTGCACCACTGTGAGTTTCAAGTCACTGGGTCCAGGTCTCAAACTGTGGTCAGCCATGTGCGAGTCCAGCAACAAAAGTGATATGCCATCTGCTGGCCCTGCCTTTCTTACATTTTACACTCAAGTTTGAATATTTTTTCTCAGTAATAATAGCCAACATTTATCAAGTACTAACTGAACACCAGTTCATTTTGTGATTCAACAAATACTGAATGTCTATTAAGTGTCAAGCACTATTCTAGGTACAAGGAACACAGATCAAGTCTCTACCCTCATATCGCTGGTGTAATCCAGACTTTCAATGGCTATACTGGGGCTCCACCAATAGAGTTTTCATTCCATTTCTACAAAGTATAGGTGTATGACCCTGGTAAGTTAGGGACCTCAATTTCTTTATCTGAAATAGGAAAAATAAAGTGGCACATTATTTTTCAGCAAATACCCCCCCCCCATAAGAAGAATATCTTTTTCTGTTCCATTAAAGTTTTGCTTGGCCATGAGACTCGCTTTGGTTGATGGGATATAGCAGACATCACACAGAGACTTGAAATGTCCTTACATGGGACAGCTTGCTCTCCATGCCTTCTGGCCTCCACCACTGTCATGAGAACATCCCCTCCTGGCTTGTTGGTGTAAGGACCTAACCTGGACTTCACTTGTAGCTGAGGAGCAAGTCCAGCTAAGCCTAGTCTTGATCCACGTACCTGCAATCAGCCCACAGACGCATGAACGAGAAAAAATGTTTATAGTTTTAAGTTACATGTTGCAGTAAGGTTTAATATGCATAATATGGCATAACATGGCAATATAAGATGAAATGCTACATCATAGGGCTGTTGTGAGAAGTCATTGTTTAAATGTATAAAATGCACACACTTAGAAGAGTGCCAGGTATATTATCCACATTAAAAATAATTTATTATTAGTTGGTAAGGGAGAAACATGTGAACCTAACCCAAGATAGAGTGTTATAGGTGGATACCATGAGCAGGGAGTTCCAACATGCCAACAAAGGGAACGTCTGACACGTCAATCAAAGATCATGGTAGACCTCCTGGCGCCAGGAGACCAGAGGTTATCTCCCCGAGATGCTTGGTCAGCATCCTAATTTCCACTGGGGCAGTAAACTAATAGGGCAGATCTCCCTCTGAGGATGCTCAGACCTTCCAAGTCCACAACAGCATGTTTTACTTGGATTCACAGTCACCCAAACTAGAAGTTTCATTTCTTAGTTTCCGTTGTAACTAATGGAAAGTTAAAGTAAATGAGGTACACAACGTGTGTGCCATGTTCTTAGAAAGAATTTGCCAGTTCTCCATTTCTTCTTATCTTTCCAACTTGCTGGCGAGTCTCTCAACTAGGAATGCAGAGCCATGTTCAGTCATGAGAATGACCCTCAAACATATGAAAAGACGCTCTGCCTCTTTCACAAAAGAAAAATGTACATTCAAAAGGGAGTATACTATTACTTTCTTACTTATTGACGTTAAGAATGACATACTGTGGGCATGGCTGGGAAAACAGACTCTCATACATCACTGCTGGGAATTCAAAATGATACAACCCCATGGAATTTTTCAGATACTAAAAAAATCTCTATGCATTTGCCCACTGATCCAGCAATCTTTCTTCTAGGACTCTATGCCTGGCTAAGCTTGATGGCACTAATTGTTAAGAGCAAAAGACTGGAAAAAGCCAAATGTCCAGCTCTAGAAGACTGGTCGAAAGAACTATCTGATACCCAAGCAAGGAGTAAAATGCAAGTATAATAAAGAATAAGGAATATCCCTACATATTTTAGTAGAATGGTTTCTAAGACATATTTTTAAAGACAATAAGAAAAGAGAAAACTGTGTATGTTATGCTACCATTCATCTATGAAAGTAGAAGGGGTCTCTCACACACATTCACACACACACAGAGAATTTATTTTAAAGAGCAACAATGGAAGAATAACCCCCAAACTAGAAAAACTATTTACACATGAGGAAGGGTAGAGAAAGCAGGAATAGAAGTTAGACTTCTCCAAATATACATCATATTCTATGCTTAACATAGCAATAATGTAAATACATAATTAAACAATAAGTTTAAACTTTAAAAACAAAACCTCTAAAAATCAAAAGCAAAAATGAAATGGATTTCCTTGCATATAGAGTTAGTAGTATAACCATATAGAGAGGAATGATTTCATTTTATTTTATCTTATTTTTATTTTATTTTTTGGAGAGGTGTTTTTGTTTTTGTTTTTCCATAGGGCACATGCACTCGCGAGAGAGACAGAGAGACGGAAAGTGAGGAATCACCCCCCCACACGCACACACCAGGGGAGATGGCCAGGCCGCAATCCCTTCTCCTCCATTCTCCTCTTGGGATCTTGGGTACACACACACACACACGCACCCGGCGTGAGTTTTAAGTCACCAGGTCCGGGACTCGAACCAC